AAAAGTGAAATGAAAACTGAATTGAAAGTTTATGTCAGGGAAAAATTGCCGTTCTATCTGTGCAGATGTCTTTCTCTATATCTGTCTCTTTGTGTGTGTGTGAGTGGGTATATGGGAGCTGTGCTGCGCAACCCGAACGTCAAATATGTTTGAGCAACTTTATTATGCAAAATGCCAAACATTCTCGAACTTGTAGACGTGGCTTTGTCCCCCTTGTTGCTCCGCATCTGTTCTTTTTTGTCCCTTTCTTATTCCTTGTCTCTCGCTCTCTCTCTTTTTTTCCAAACTCTTTTTGTGTGTGTGTTCGTATATTTAACTATGTGTGTGTGTAGATGGCTGTGCCCGCAAATCTCATTTGAATTATAATGATGCCAGCTCGGATTCGTATACGTATACACGCACACACATGCCCATACACTAATACACACACACGCTGACTCGTGTGTAAAGTGTAAAGTGTGGACGCGTTTTTTCCTGGAGCTCCCACGCGGACGGATAATAGCCGATATTCCTGCCGTAAAATAGGTCGGTCAGTGAAGAGACCCAGACCCAACAGATCAAACAATGGTCGTTGTCCAGGGATGAAAGGTAAGATTTTCTGCCTCCCTCTCCAATTGTACCATTGTATTGTTGTAATTAATGGACATTTTGTATTTTAACTGCGCCGTCTGTACTCATTGCAACTTTTCCTGGCCATTCCAGCTGATCGCGTAGACACTGTACACACGGGTCGCAGCCCCTCAACAGCACTGTAACTAAGAGTCGTTCGCCGGTGTGGCAGCCCCTCCGACTCTGACACGCCGGTCTGGCATCTTTATCTTAGACTTCGCAGCAAAGCACTTTTAAGATTCAATAATAATTAATAAAGAACAACAATAAGAATTCAGCGTACATTGACCAAAGAACACAGTCAGCGAGAGCCACCTAGTGCATACTCTACGGACTGCACTGACATCATAACGTACGAGGGTTGCTATTTATATTTCGGGAATGGGCAATACTAAAGCCAATACGTAAAATCTGGCAACGCCATAATAAACTTTGTCATTTTTTAGCACATATGTACGTACGACGTTTTTATGTACAATTGGTTTTTGTATTGTTCACGATCAGTTAAAAAAATCAATTTGGCAAAAAAAATGGAAATTTCTCGAGAGGGTTTTCGTTTTATTATTTTCCACAACTTTCGACGTGGATTATCCCAACAAGAATGTGTTGATGAACTTAGTTCTTTATATGGCGAGAAAGCACCATCAAAAACGACAGTTTATCGCTGGTTTGCAGAGCTTAATAGTGGTCGTAGTTCAGTCGCTGACGAATTTCGTGAAGGTCGCCCAAAATCGGTTGTTGTGCCACAAAACATCGATGGTGTGCGTGAACTGATAGTTCAAGATCGACATGTGACATATCGTGAGATAGAGACATCCTTGCACATTAGTTCCACTTCAATACATACCATTTTACATGAACACTTAGTTGTAAAAAAGGTTTGCTCTCGTTGGATACCCCATAACTTATCAATCGCTCAAAAAAAGGCTCGCAAGGAAATGCATAAAAAGTTCGACCGAGGTGCTTCAAAAGATGTTTTTAAAATCGTGACAGGTGATGAATCATGGATATATGCGTATGAGCCGGAAACTATACAGCAATCGACCGTGTGGGGGTTTCAAGATGAGCAAAATCCAACAAAAGTTGTTCGAGCCTGTTTCTTCGGGAGAATGGGTCATGTGGCCACTGTTCCGCTAGAGAAACGTAGGACTGTCAATTATGAGTGGTACACGACCATTTGCTTGCCGGAGGTCTTCGGAGAAATTCGCAAAACCAACTGCCGAGCGCGAATCATTCTCCATCATGACAATGCGAGCTCGCACACATCTCGACAAACAGGTGAATTTTTAAGCCGTCAAAACGTCGAATTGATGACTCATCCTCCCTACAGTCCTGACTTGGCACCCAATGACTTCTTTTTATTCCCTAACATTAAAAAAAAACTGCATGGTCAACGTTTTACGAGCGCCGAAGACGCAGTTGAAGAGTTTAAAAACCATGTTTTGGAGGTGTCTCAAGAGGAGTGGAAAAACTGCTATGACCAATGGTTCAAGCGAATGCAAAAGTGTATTGATCATCAGGGGGAATATTTTGAAAAAAAATAAAACCATTTTCATTTAAAAATTCTGTTCTTATTTCCTATTCCAGAAATATAAATAGAAACCCTCGTACCTACATATGTTTGGCGGCTTGGCCACAGTACGCTTAATATTTTGCTATTCCTCTTTATTATACCAGATAATCAAAATGAATATAGGGGTATATTATGTTTGTGGGGAAAATAGATGTGTGTAACGTCCAGAAGAAAGGTTTTCCGACCCCATAAAGTATACATATTCTTGAACAGCATCAATAGCCGAGTGTCCGTCTGTCCGTCCCTATGAGCGCCTAGTGCTCAGAGACTATAAGAGCTAGAGCAACGAAACTTTGTATCCAGACTTCTGTGACATGTCAATGTTACAAGTGTATTTCAAAACTTCTCTCGGCCCCCTTCCGCCCCGCACAAAGAACGAAAATCTGTGGCATCCACATTTTTGAAGTCAGGAGAAAATTAAAAACATAGAATTATAAGAAATTACTTCTTCTTTTCTTTTTTTTATATGTCCATAATGCCACATTTGATTGCTGATCGTCTGTATAGTTGGCGTTGGCATTTGCCAAATGCATTTGGCATTTGATCGGCTATGGATCCGTGTACGGCGGCTCGAAGGGTTGTTTCACAGCATTAGTCCGGACGAAGACAAGTGAGCAATTGTGAATATCCTTAAGCAGAAAGAGTTTATGTTTGATGAGATGCGAACCTGGACTTGGCTTTACCACCTGCATTCTTCCCCTGAACTGGCTGACACAGTCGAGTGGTTTCGACGGTACGTTCAAGTCGTAAAAGTTTTCATTGGGAACATTTATAACATTTCATATAACATTTCGCCGGCTGATGCCTAAATGTCCTCCTTGAAGCAAATCCGGAGGCACATCAAGGAGGTTGTGCCCATACTCGATTATGCCATTTGACTGAGGGCAATGGGGCGTCGTGTGAATGTGCTAAGTTCCCAGAATATTCGCCAGAGACTTAATGAGTGCAGATTCGAATTGAGTTCCTTGATCGGCTGTAATAGTCAATGGGCACCCGAAACGCAATATTTAGTGCGACCTTATTATGTCACATATGGTCTCTGCAGTCATATTCTTCAACGGCACAGCCTCCAGCCAGTGAGAAAAGTGGTCGATCATTGTCAGACAATATCTGTATCCAATAGGCTGTCGCCTCCCTTTCGTGTTTTGTTCAATGGCTGTATCGGAGGGGTCACACGTGGGACTTAGTTCTGCATTAAGACAGGGGTAAGCAAGGGTTGCGGCACTGATGCAAAGTTTATGCGCTTTTGAGATTTGCAAAATATTATCCACGTGATGTCTGTGCTCCTCCACTGAGTTGGACAATGAGTTGAATGGAAGCAGATCGGGAAATACACGACAAGCGATTAAACTGCTATTCGCTGTGCGATAAGTACTGGCAATAGAGGTGGCCAGGCGAGGACCACGCAGACCACACGGAGGTCGCCACCTTTAACCCAGTACAATTTTCTGCGAAATTGCTCATCCCAGAGCCAGCTGGTGACGCCTATAGAGAGTCCGACGGGGCATAGATGCAGAGACACATGTCTGCGATGGTAGCATGAACCGTCGTTATGCCTACAGGTGCCATCACCAGCCTGTTTACTGGTAGAACGCACCGATCGGGGATACCCCCCGGATGCCAAAGGGCAATCGGCCGTGCTTCTTGGAACTGTGTGACGCAGCGGAACGGGTGGTGGTACTAACAAAAATGAGAGCTCTTAAAACAAAGGCACCGGCAGGCACAAATAAAATGCAGGCTATTTTAGAAACCTTATACAACCTGTAAGCTGTAAAGTAAATGAGCAGCCCTCATTGTATAGGCCGATATGACTATTGGACACCGCGCGAAAAATTCGGGAGCGGATTGTCAGCCAGTATTGCGCGAGGCTACAGCCTTCAGACCTATCACCACGGCAATACGGGTTCCGTAGGGCACGCTCCACTGTTGATACACCATCATCAATGGCCGATATTGCTTCGAAAGCAATCGACGGCCCACGGTGGAAAGGTGATACAAAACAGTATTGCATCGTGGTAACGCTGGACGTAACGAACACGTCTAACTCTGCCAGATGGGACGTCGTTATACAGGCATTAGCGGAGCTTCGAGTCGAAGACGTATCTGGTGGCGTAGCACAAGGAACAGTCCTGGGCCCCTGTTTTGGAACGTTCTGTATGATAGGGTTTGCAGACGGCGTTACACTGGTGTCTGTCGCAAAGGATCTCACGGATCTAGAATCTAGAAGCATGTAGGGTGGAATCCTCGAGAGCCATCCGATACCTGGGAGTGGGTTCGAAACCGACAGAGGAAAGATGAAGAAATCTGTGGACGAATGCTGACCAAAGCAACGCTGATGAGCGCAATGCTCGAGGAAATGCGATATTGGGACGCAGAGTGCAACTTTGCATACATATCAATGAGCGAGCCAAAAGACAGCTCTCAGAAGGGGCATAGAGCGCCCTCCCGGACCCTGTGACGCAATACCTAACGGTCAGTCCGCATGTGTTCGCCGGCAACCGGAAACTCTCCTGAAATTTCAAAAATATCTCTCAATTTGGATTTGAGTAATGAGATGTTTCAGAACCACATCAGTATATAACTAAGTAATATTAAAACTAAAGGATGGAATATCGATTAAAACCTACATTCAAAGGCAGTATAATCCAAAAGAACCCATCCAGTATACAACATAAATGATATGTGCAGGGTATCATCATCTTGGGAACGGGCACTAGCATGGGGCAAGGACATTGGCATGGGCATTGGCATGGACCAAGAGTTGCTGGTAGTCCCGTCCCAGTGCCGATTTGGCTTATAATAAAATGTGCCTACATACCTGAACATGCTTGCGGCGGCAATGGAAATATTAACGTCGTGGAGCTCTTGCGTCGCGCCACTGCACAGCCCAGCGATTGGGGCTTGAAGCTCCGCAGTTGCTGCATAAAATCGGAGCACTCCATTAGGGCCACGTCTGCGAAATGCAGGTCGCACAGGATCTGGTTCTGCATGGAAAAAGGGAAAAAACAGGAAAGCGTTAGATTTTTGAATTTTTCCTCAGCCCTAAATGATTTTTTTGTGCATCCACTTCTTTTTCCTTTTCTATTTGTCGCCTTTACTTTGGCACTTGCCACACATGCACCATAGACCATACACCTGCACGAGTACTCTTATGTGTATACTCGGACAGCAGCCGTGCATATTTGCTACATTATGACAGCAACTGCATTCGAGATAAGATAGGTTTTGTTCGCTAAGGAGGGTGGAGGTAAACCTACCTTGAACCTCCTGGCGCGCTTCTGATTGGGTCCCGTCAAATTCAAGCCGCACGAGTTGCACCGCAGACACTCCTCATGGTAGTGGTTGTTGTCGTATAGCGGCGATGGTTCTGTAATGGGAGAATGGAATAGAATGAACGATCAAAACTAAGTCGACACTTGGTCACATGAATTTCACAAATCAATCAAATATGGATACCATTGGGGATACAGATGCAGATCGGGATACTGAACCGAAACCGAAACCGGAACAGCACATGAACAACGTTAGTCAGCGGCATTTCAAAGTAAATTAATTTGCGTATACATAACCCATATATGAAGGAAGGTTGGATGAATGGGGAAATCCGGCTGGAGTGTAAGGGGTGTACATATGACGGATGTAGGATGTCCTGTTCGCAGGGTGTACGCATGGTGTGTGTGACCGCATACACACAATCGAGCTAGAGCGACTCAATTACAAACGGAAATGAGTTTCAAATACAAGCAAATTGCCAAAGGATTGGGCTGGCTGTGCTACAATGCCAGCAGAAAGAGAGCCAGCCAGGTTAGAGAGTGTGCAAAAGAGGGAGAGGCATATAAAAAGAAAGAGAGAGTTCTACAAAATTGTTGCTTATTGAGTTGATGAAGTTTTGAGTTTATTGAGTTTCTCCGAAATGAAAAGCAACAGAATCCTCAATGAACGTGATAAACTTACGAGAGCCAGAGTAATTGGTGTGTGGGGAAATTTAAGAGCATTATAAAGTGTTGAAAGAGCTTCTGAGGTGACCCAGAGACGGAATAAAGTTGCAATTTCATAAATGACCAGCATACTTTTGTATCTATACTAGAACTATACTGATTGCAGAAGGATGGTTGATTTTCAATTAATTTTATAAGCTGATGAAAGGCATACATCTGGCGTGCGGAAATGCTTTTATAGAGTTGAAAGAGTTCCTTAAATTAAGATTAAATATACAATTTTTTTTAACCCATGAACGTCAAATAAATGCAACGATTTCTTAGAAGATTTTTATTGGAATAGTTCTCATCATTAAGCAAAAAAAAAGCATACAAACTTTGCTGCTGAAAAGACTCAGTTTAAGCTCAAATTTTTGGTTTTGTGGGGGTTCTTTTTTGTGGGTTTGTCTGCCAGTCAGGGCAGTGCCTGGCAATTAAGTGACTATAATTATGAGCATGTGTTTGCGGCCCTGCCTTTTTTTCCCATTTCTGGGAGCTCAAAATCATCAAAATCTACCCGTATTGGGATGCCACTTCTGAGCCTCTTGACCCAGCGGTAATCAACTGGTACTCGCATTTCATTAAAGGGTCTCGAGAGTGTCTCCGTCGTGTCTTCTGTTTTTGTCTGGTCATTAGAAAGATATTGCACCTAATAAAGTCATACACATCAGAAAGCAATAATGATCTCTCTGACTAAGCCCATGTTTTCCTTTTTTTTCTTTTTCTAGCTTGTCCACTTTGCGTATGCGCTATAAATTGCAATTCATCCTTTTGAGTGAAGTGAATATCTGGTACAGTTACTGTGAAGGCTTCTGGCATAGCTGTCGCTGAGAACAAACCAATTCATCATTGCCACGCATGTTTTGCATGAATTTTGAATCAGTTTCAGCCTCTACTTAACCAAAAGTATCCCTTTTGTCCATTTTCTCTACCGATACAAGAGTCAAGCGAAGCCGCAAGAAGCACGCCCGCACTCCAGGCAGGCCTTGGCTAGAAAATTACCAACCAACTTGCCGGAATTCTATTCCATGCGGATCGCAGCCCGAATGCGAATGCGGGCCTTGTGTTAGAACGGAGCCGGGCATGGTCGGAACTTTACGCATATTTTTGCATTCGACTATGAGTATTTGCTAACAGTAGAATTTGGGCGAATTAAATTTGCATTTGATAGTCAGTATGGGGTATGGACGCCGTGTGTTCGTTCCCCAACCGCCCAGCACTCCGCACCTAATTGGCCTGCCGTCAAAAAAATTAGCCCACAAACTAATACAATGAATTTCGACTCGAGGCAATCAGCCAGAGATACTACCGGTGGGCGAATGGGCATGGGCATGCGTATGCATGACTATAAAATAAATCAAATTGCATTGTCAAGTGCAGAACAACGACTGAAATGGGCAACAGGAATGGCCAGAAAGTACTAGAAAGCAATGTCGTGTCATGTCATTCTATAGAGCAGCAGCACGGAGTTCATTTGAGCTCTCGGGGCGTCCTTAAAACTCGTCCGACAACCGAGACTCAATGGTTCTAATTTAATGGACCATCAAAACGAAAACGAAAACCTATTTGTGCTTCTGGCGAATTTTAATCAGGACACTTTACATAATTGACTAATTGAAAGACGACGAAATTGGACAAGTTCTCGGAACCTTGTCTCCGTTCTCTAGCATGCAGAGGGTAGGGTATGACGAGGGTTGGTATTCGGTGAATGAACAAAATGAAAATTATACAGGAATGCCTGATCGGTACAAGCAGAGCTTTTGCTTTATAGCTTTCTCGCTTTACTTTTAATTTTTTCTATAAATGTATTTTTGTATTTATCTGCATTGGTATCTTAATATTTTCAAGGGTATCTATAAGTTCTATAGCCCCAGAAGATGACTCTCTCTTTATATATTTCTCTCTCCCTCCTTGGTTCTCTTCAGCTCAGCAGGCAGAAGCGTGGTCCTGTCCTGGTCTGTTCTGGTCTGTTATGCTCTATTCTAGTCGGAGCACAATTCATATTTTAATGCTTTCTGGCTCGACGAGGCTTCTTCCTTTTTCCATTTGCTTTAATGACAGCTGCCGCATAGAAACTTTGCATCTGCACTCAGTAGTTTCTTCCGAGGGATTTCGGGGAGCAGTCTAAGTTCATGACTTTGATATATTACCAACTAATGACCCAAAAGAATGGCAAACTTCTGGTTTTTAGTGCAGAAATCAAGCGTTAACTTTTTCTTTTGAATAGCGCTTGCCCCGCTTGGTATTCGAGAGGCCAGTCCGAAACAATGGATGCTTAATGGCTTGTGACAGTCACTCCGAGATGGTTCTCAATTGTATCCCTACTACCGCCACCATCACCCTCCCTCCCCACACACACATCTCCTCTAACCCTCTAGCAATCGGGGGCATGGAAATTGTCTGACAATGGCAACCGGCTTGGCTCTGACTTGGCTGAGGAACCAGAATTGACTGCAAGTGCAATTTGTTTAGAGAAATACATAGCTGTAAAAAAGAAAAAGAGGGTGGAGTAGGGTGGAGGATGAAAGGAGGGAGATGTGCACTAACTTAATTGAGCGTAAATAATATTGGAACAAGGGTAGCACATGAGGAAGCCACTGACAGGAGGATGCTACAGGGAAACCAGGCAACGTGCCGTTAATGCACTTTCATTAAAATTATAGAGCGGAAAGGGAGCAGGAAGGAGATGGGCCGAAAGAGCGAGAGAGCGTACGGTGACAGGGTAAAGTACATATGTAGAGCGGTGGTTGTATACGCGTTAGAGAGGAGCGGTTATACTCCAAGCTCTGCAGGAGCATTGCCCCGGAGAAAACGCTTTACAACAGGTTAAGCTTTTGACGCAACTGTACTTGGCAAACATTCAAAGGTGCCACCACTTGGAATAGTAATGAGTGTCAGTTTGTACGGAGAAAGGATTGATTTACAGAAAAACCTGTTCACGGTAAACGTGTGGAAATTTCACATCTTTTAATAGATATGAGAGCTACATAAAAGGTTGCATTCTGTGACTGAATTATACCTAATGAAAAATGCAATTACTCTTTAATTTTTTACTCTTAATTTTTCTAATAAAGAGTAATAGAATTGTGTTAAGCCTTTTAGGAAACTGCAACTGCAGCTATTGCTCTTGCTATGCCGTATTTTTCTTAGGTTATAACTAATCATCCTATGACTTCTTAAGGAGTATCACAACTATGCTGACAACCCCCCAAAAGCATGTACATTGTACATACCAGTGACAGCGAGCACCGAGTGCCCATTATAAATGACCAAGTTTCCCGAAGGCCCTCGAACCCCATATACCCTTGATTGTTTCCTGTTTGGACTTGTTGTTCAATTATCGCTGACAATAAGCTTTCATTAGCCTTACAGGCGGGGGCCAGGTCCTGTCACGATATGCGAGACTGGCGACAGTATTCGGTTTTGTCGCATTCTGCTTTTGCTTCTGCTGATTAGTGCTGTGCAATTAAATTGAAGTATATCATTTACCCAAATTGCTATCTGCCACTGTTCACTGGCCAGTTGGCGACCCTAAAGTGCATGTCGCAGTTGCCACCCCCGCCCACTTGTCGCAGCGCAGTGACAGCATCGGGGTCATGTGGGTCACCGGTCAGCGGCCACCGGGCCACCGGGCCACCGAGAAGAGTCCCTCAACATGAACACTGACATGGGCCAAGCGGCGGAGCCCCTTGTCGGAGCAGAGTCATCGGCCCCGCTTTGTGTACGTGCGTATTTATGGGTCCATAGGGACCATAATCGACCCCAAACTTACACAGTCAAACACTGGTATTTCGAAGCGCTTCACTGCAGTGCTAGAGATGGGTGAATGACACGATAGAGAAAGATGGAAGGAGCTATAGATATATAGACTTATCTCTCATATCCGTATCTTCAAATTCTTTGGTATTTTTTTTAACTGTCATTGTGTGACAGAAAACAGACATTGAATAACCTTTAACCTACTCTCTGTAAGTACTTCTGAAGATACATTAAGGATCGATAAGAACACTTTGGAACTATTGACTTTTATCATTCTCAGATCGGAAAAACGTCACGTACTGGTCTCCTTTTGGGTTCACCTTTTCGCGAAACTCTTAGCCGTACTTGGCTATAATTACTCTTTGTGCGCTGCAGAAGAAAAATTGAGTACTATATTTTCTAGGCCAAAACCAAGGCCAAATCCGCAACCGAAAACCAAAATAACAGAAAACTTTACTTATTAATTGTGTGTGATGGCTATGTTGTATTTCGTTCGGTTCGTATTGCACATGCAGGTGGTGTTGCTATAACTTATGTATATGTGAATACGAATTTAAAATGTTATGTTAAATGTACACAACCTAGTGAGTGTCCAATTGAATATCTATTGAATATCACATGCAGAATGAAA